GCCTGATGGTTAATTAGCTCTTTTATCCTGTAGTAAGGGTCTCCCTGATGTCTTCTATGCTTTTCTCCAATCCCAGCTAGTATCCTTATGATTATTGCTTTAAAGTCTGCATCAGGCTCATTACTTATATATGTTTTGCTTAGATACCTGGCCATGACCTTCTCTTGTTCTTTCTTTTGGGATGAATTCCTCCATCTTGGCATTTTGACTAGATCTCTGCTTCTTCTGTGTGTTAGGAAAGTCTGTTATGTTTCCTGTTCCTGAGAGTAAGGGCTTTATGTAGAAGAGATATAATGTCCAGGGTCTAGTGCTTCAGGAAGTGTCTTTGGTGTGTGCTGCATGTACTCTGCTACTGTGTTTGGGCTGCTCTGTTGCTTAGGTCAATTGTATGCAAAGGTTCTGTTTGCCTGCAGAGGGGATTGTTTGGTCCTTGGCCAGAGTGTAGCACGTTTTAACTAAGTATGCTCTGGTCTGCTTGTTAAAGGAGACCTGATGATATTTCCACTAGAAGTGAAGCTTTGAAGGACTCTATGGTCAGTAGACATGGTGAATGCAGGGGTTTCTGGTGGTCTTCTGGGGAAGGGGTCTGCTCCTCTAGTCCTTAGGTACCCTTGCCCAAGAAAAGCATTACCGGCAGAGTACAGGGGGAAGAGACTTGGTGTAAGCAGTTTAGGCAGCCAGTGTTGGCAATGTGCTGTTTACCGAAGCTGGTCTATGCTGAGGGGTGGGGGAGGGAAATGGCGCTAACAAGCTCTTTGTCTCCAGAGAGGGGAGTCCATGCTTGCTGCTCTCACGAAAGCACTTTCAGAGCAGCAAATAATTTTCCTTCATGTGTCCCAGTGTTTTCTAGATCTCTGATTTCACACTGTCTCTGGGTTGCTTGCCTGCTTGGAGCAGCGCAGTGCACCTTGGGCACTAACCCAGCCAAGCCTGCTGCCTTTTAAAACTCTAAACTTTTAGGACCTGGTGTGGCAGGAACCTGCGCTGGTCTTCTGGAGGATGGTCTTGCTGTGCTGGGACTCTTGCAGCTTTGACCCAGAAGGGCAATTGTGACAGAATGCAGGGGCATGGGATTTGGAGAAAAGCAGGCTAAAGAGCCGGTGTCCAGGTTAGCCACTCCCAGTAGGTGTCTCTGTGCCTATGCTAATGGTGGAGAAAGGAAATGGAGCCTGCTGAATCTTTTGTCCTCAGAAAACCAATGCAATGTCTCAGAGATGTGCACTAAAAAGTAAAAACAGTCTCTCCCCATACACCTTAGGTGATCCTCAGATTGTGCTGTCTGGCCTGGTTACCTGCCTGCCTCTTCTCCAGGAGTAGGGCAACTTCCTCAGGTCTCTGTCCTAGCCACTCTCAGGGACCTCTAAAACTTCAGTGTTTGAGGCCCGTTGGTTGCCAAAACTTACAACAATAAGCCCCTCTCAGTTTCCCTACCAATGGCTTTGGGGAAATGTTCTCCTTATGTATATCCCTGTGTGCTCCATTCTCTCTCACCATTCTCCGCAACCAGTACTCCCTCCCCTCTGCAGCACCTGGGATCCCTTTACCCACAAACCATGTCTCCACACTTCCTACCTTCCTTTATGTGGCTTCTTCTCTTCCTCTAGTTGTGCAATTTGTTCTGTCAGTTCTCAGGTCAATTTCTTGGGTACTCAGAATGACTTGAAGGTTATCTTGTTGTGTTCCGTGGACAAAGTGAACTTAGGGTCCTCCTACTATGCTGCCATCTCAGCTACTCCAACTTATGTTTGTAACCATTTGTAAGTGCATAGTTCAGTGGCATTGAGTCAATTCACATTGTCATGATGGTTAATTAAGTTAATTGATGTTTGTAATGCAAGGACCAGTACCATCCATCTCCAGAGCTTTTTCATCTTCCCAAACTGAAATTCTACCCTCATTAAACATTAATCCCCCATTCCCTCTCTCGGAGCCTTAGGCAGCCACCATTCTGTTTTCTTATTGCCTGAAAATTTGGCTACTTTAAGTACCTATGTATATGGAATCATACAATATTTGTCTTTTTGGGATTGTCTCATTTCATTTGGCATAGTGCATTGTAGGATATGTATGTTTTAACACATGCCAGAATTTCCTTAATTTTTAAAGGTGAATAATAATCCATTGTGTGCATGTACCCTCATTCTGTTCATACATTTATCTGTCAGTACACACTTTGGCTGCTTCTACTTTCTGGCTATTGTGAATAATACTGTCATAAAAATGGGTATAGAAATATCTGTTTGAGGCTGTGATATCCATTATTTTATGTATATATCCCAAAGTGGAATTGTGGATCATATAGTATTTTTTTGCTTAATTTTTTAGGAAGTACCATAACATTTTCCATAGCAGCTACATCATTGTGCATTCCCATCAGCGGTGTACAGTTGTTCCAATCTTTCTGAACATGTGTTACAATTTTTACATTTTGTGGCCATAACTCTCCTGTTGGATGTGAAATAGTATTGCATTATGGATCCAAAATTCATTTCCCTAATGATTAGTGACATTGAGCATCTTTTCATGTGCTTATAGGGCATTCACATATCTTCTTTGGAGAAATGTCTATTGAAGTCCTTTGCTTATTTTTAATCAGGATGGTGGTTTTTTTTTTATGTGTGTTTTTGAGATGTGAAAGTTCGTTATATATTCTGGATGCCAACACATTATCAAATAAATCAATTGCAGATATCTTCTCTCATTTGTGGAATGCCTTTTCTCTCTGTTGATAGTGTTCTTTGATGTACAAAAGTTCTTAAATTTGATAAAATGCAATTTATATATATATTTTTTCTTGCCTGTGGTTTTGGTGTCCTACCCAAGAAATCATTACCAAATCCAAAGTTATGACGTTTTCTTCTAAGAGTTTCATAGTTCCAGGTGGTAGTATATGTCTCTGATCCATTTTGAGTTAATTTTTGTGTATGGTGTATGTTATTAAGGGTTCAATGTCATTCATTTGCATGTGGATGTCTAGTTCCACAGTACTATTTTTTGTATCATCTGTCCTTTCCCAATGAATGCCCTTGTCACCTGCTGAAAATCATTTGAACACATAGGCAAAGGTTTATTTCTAGGATCTGTATTTTATTCCATTGTTGTGTTTATCTTTATGCCAATATCACACTGTTTTGATTACTGTAGCTTTGTAGTTAGTTTTAGAATCAGGACATCCTCCAACTCTTTGTTTCCCCATGGTTATTTTGGCTGCTTGGAGCACCTTGAATTTCCACCTGAATTTTAGGATGGATTTTTCTATTTCTGAAAAACAAAAAACAAAAAACAAAAACAAAAACACACTTCTTTGGATTTTGTTAGGGATTGCACTGAATCTGTTTATCACTTTAGGTAGCACTGACAACTTACTAACATGAACCATATAAGTTCATGAATGTCTTTCCTCCCTTTTATTTGTGTCTTCTAGAATATCTTTCAGCAACACTGTAATTTTTCAGTGTAGAAGACTTTTGGCTCCTTGTTTAAGCTTATTCTTAAGTATTTTGTTCCTCTTGATGTTTAGTAAAAGTGTTTTCTGAATCCTCTGTGGATTATTAATTGGTAGCACAGAAATTCAATATGTTTTCATGATAAAAAAACTCTCAACAGATTGGGCATAGATGGAATGTACCTCAATATAATAAAGGCCCTATATGACAGATCCACAACTAGCATCACATTCAAGCAGGAAAATGTTGAAAGCTTTCCCACTGTAATCAAGAAAAAGATCAGAGTGTCCATGCTCACCACTCCCTTTCACAATAGCACTGGAATAAAAATCCCTGTGAAATTTTTAGCGATTTGTACATATAGGTCATGCCATCAGTGAAGTGAAAACAAATTACTTAGAATGTTTACTTTATTTTACTACCTATAACAATGTTTCTGAGGGTAGCTACTATCTGTCCTTTACATCTCAGCTTAAACATTACCTTTGAAGAAAGGCCTTTTCTCATCACCTTTTCTGTAGTAGAAATTTCCCTGAGTATCCTGTTTGCTTTATTATTAGCTGTGATGAAGACTATAGTTAGTTTAGTAAATTGTCCCCTTATTCACTGTCTGACTCTATTATGAGAATATAAGGTCCACGAAGGAAGGAACTTTTGCATATTTTTTCCCACTATTTCTTTTATTACTGTGTCCTCACTCATAGCAAAATTCCTGACAGTAAATAGGAGCTCCATATTAAAGAAAGTAATAATTTAATGAATAGTTATTATGTCTCTCTCTCTCTCTCGCACACACACACACACACACACACACACACACACACATACACACATATATATCTAGAACATCTAAATACACTTCAAGGCAGCATAAATTGCCATTAAATAAAAGGAAAGAAAAACTTGCTATGACAAGTGGAAAAATATATGAAAAATTAATTTTCCCTAACACAACATGACTGGGATAAATTTTATTCTTGACTGGCAGTAGTCTTACAATAGTTCTAAAGCTGTTTTTTCATATTACATTTTCTGACCCTAATTATGTGCTTTAGCCTACTAGTATCTTTATAGAGATATTTTTAAACTTTTTTTGTGGAAATTCCCAGTGAATTTAATTAATCAAGAATCAGTCTTGGACACTTTCCAATTCTAGGACTTAATAAGGAATGTGTTTAGAAGGGATAATATGTCCAGTGATCTTTGCCTGTATTGGGAAGAAGACACTATGCTCCTAACAACTGATACACATTTTTTGGGAGGTTTCTATTAGGCTTAAAGCATTACCTAATGAAAAGCACAAGAATGTCTCTTAAAAATATCAAATCGGCTAATCTGAGCAAACCAACAGGGCAGAATGAAGATGACTAAAGAGTTGAATGATATTTTCCTAATTAGAAATTAGTAGGAAAGAAATTACTTGAGAAAAATCTCCCTTGGAAATGTCTGGTTGCTATCTTCTTATGTAAGCATAGGAATTCCTTGTCTTTTTGATAAATTATCCTAATGTGCTAAATTTTTGTTTTTCTGTGGACCCTGGACTTCCTAGGAAGTAATCTACAGTGCAAATAAAAGCAACCTTCTGAATAACCGGAAGACTCCATGGAGAGAATGGACAGACAATTGAATGAAATAAGTGTCCTCAAGTAATAATGCAACTTTTTGCCCTCTCTTGTCAAACTGATGACAGAAGAATTCCAGGTTCCTGTGAATGAGTAAAAAATGTTCCTTCAGATTGTGGACTTGTCTTCCTAAGGTAAGACTAACAGTAAATAGTGGAAACCAGGCTTTGCAATTGTGTGAGTATCTTTATTATATAAAAGTGAGATCACTTGGAGATAAAGCAAACTTGGATTCCAATTCTAGTTTTATCACTTAAAAATGGGTGACCTTGCAAAAATTAATTAGATGTTCAGAGTCTCAGTTTGTTCAACTGTGGAATGGGGATTACAGTTCCTGTTATTGTAAATATGCAATGTGATTCATTAAGTTGTAAGTGAGTGATTGGAATCCACTGTAGTTGTGAACAGTGATTAGATCAGAATCAGATTTCAAAAGGATCATTTTGGCTGCGCTAGGAAAACAAATTGGTGGAGGCCAGAATGAAAGGGAAGGGACATTGCAAGTGGCTAGTGCAGTGGGCAGGAAGAAGTGGGGAGGGAAGGGAAATGACCAAGTTTGTGATGTATTTTAAAGGGGGTTAATAAGATTTGTTAAAGGTATCAATATGTGATACGAGAGCAAGAAAGGCATGAAAGGCATGGTGATATTTCTTGTTTGAGTAATGACTTGGAAGATGGTACCATTTAGTGAGATGGGAAACACCTACATTTGTTGCTGAAAATTAAAAATTTAGTTTTATAAGTTCTGAATTATATCCAATTGGAGATGTTCAGAGTTGGAGATGCTGCATATATTAAGTGTAAAAATTAAGGGAGAGACTCAACATTGGAATGGTTCCACATTTATTGGTGAGGAAAAGTGGGCATATTTGGCCAGAGACCCTAAGAAAAAGGTCTCAGTGACGGAAGAGACAACCCAGGGCAGTGGCTTTCCATTCCTACTTTGATCCACTCGCTTTGAATATGTCAATTACCCTAAATGGGTCTCAAGTATTTCACTTTTGTGACTTTATACACTGTGCACCCTTGCATGGAATGCCCTAGGCCTCTTGTTCTTCCACTTCTCCTTTAAAACTCAGGAAGGATTGCTTCCTCTGGGAAGCCTTCTTTGATTGCTGTTTGGTTGATATATTCCTACCCCTGACCTTTGCGTTGTGTGACTATCTTTATATTGGCACTTATACAGCACTTATTTATATTGGCACTTACATAGGGATTATTATGTATGCTGTCACTGAGTGTGGGAAACCATGACTTGTTCAACTCGGAAATCGCAACATCTGTGACACACACAGGTACTCCTTCCACAATCTTTTAATTGAATGAATCAATAAAAAATTAATCTTATAATGCATTTAAAGGTTTTCTCCCCTGTTTTGTAGGAAACCTGGTTCTAATATGAGAAGTCACTCCTATCCGGACTAGATGGACCCAAGAAACAATGTAACTTACTTTGTCCTCTTGGGCCTCACCCAGGATCCAAAGGAACAGAAGGTCCTTTTTGTTATGTTCTTGCTCTTCTATATTTTGACTGTGGTGGGCAACCTGCTCATTGTGGTGACTATAGCTGTCAGTAAGACCCTGGGCTCGCCTATGTACTTGTTTCTTGCTAATTTATCTTTTATGGATGTCAGTTATTCTTCTTGCATTTGCCCTAGATTGATTTCAGACTTGTTGTTTGGAGAAAATACCATATCCTTCCAATTTTGTATGACCCAGCTATTTACAGAGCACCTTTTTGGTGGGTCTGAGGTCTTTCTTCTGCTGGTGATGGCCTATGACCGTTATGTGGCCATCTGCAAGCCCTTGCATTATTTGGTGATCATGAGGAAGTGGGTGTGTGTTGTGCTGCTGGGAGTATCCTGGGTTGGAGGTTTTCTGCATTCAGTAATTCAAGTTAGCACTATTTATGGGCTCCCATTCTGTGGTCCCAATGTCATTGATCATTTCATCTGTGAAATGTACCCCTTAATGGAACTCATCTGTACTGACACATATGTGATTGGCCTGTTAGTGGTGGCCAATGGAGGGATGATCTGCACTATTGTGTTTGTGTTCTTGCTCATCTCATATGGCGTCATCCTGCACTCTCTGAAGAACCTTAGTCTGGAAGGGAGGTGGAAAGCCCTCCAGACCTGTGGTTCCCACATCACGGTGGTGGTCTTCTTCTTTGTTCCATGTATTTTCATGTATGTAAGACCTGCTAAGACCTTCCCTATTGACAAATCATTGAGTGTGTTTTTTACAGTCATAACCCCCATGCTGAACCCATTGATTTATACTCTGAGAAATTCTGAGATGACAAATGCTATGAAGAAGGTCTGGAGAAGAAATGTTATATCTTTTAGTAGATAAGTATATTATCCACCACGAGGAGAATTCCTTTACAACAGGCTCATTTTCTGAGAATGCAGAATTATTCTTTTTTTATTATATATATTTTAAAGATTTTATTTATTTATTTGACAGAGAGAGACACAGCAAGAGAGGGAAGAGACGCAGAGGGAGAGGGAGAGGCAGAGGGAGAAGCAGGCTTCCCACTGAGCAGGGACCCTGATGTGGGGCTTGATCCCAGCACCCCAGGATCATGACCTGAGCTGAAGGCAGACACTTAACAACTGAGCCACCCAGATGCCCCACAGAAGTATTCTTAAAATGATTCTGAGTTCCTTTTTTTCAAAGAAATTAAGTTAATTACAATTAAAGAATGAACTGGATGATTGTGGTATAATAAGCTTCCCTTCCTGGTAGAGTGTAAGGTTCATAATACCTTGTAGATTCTTCATTTAAGGGTGTAATGCCTTTATAATGGGGAGTCAACAATAGGTAATGAATTAGTGAGGAAATTTTTACATGACACACTAAGTTTTAATGTTTAAATTTTTAATTTTTGTCTGATACTTAGCATGATTTTAGTTATATTCTGGTCATTTAAGGTAATTCTTTTTGGGGCACCAAGGTGGCTCAGTAAGTTAAAGCATCTGCCTCTTGGTTTTGATTCTTGATCTCGGTGTCATGATCCCTGCATCAGGCTCCCTGCTCAGTGTGGAGTCAGCTTGTCCCTCTCCCTCTGCTCCTCACCTCACTCTCTTTCTTATTTTCTCAAATAAAGAAATAAAAAAAACTTTAAAATAATACAGTAATTCTTTTATTATACTATTTGTAATATTTAATGATATATGGACTATTTTGTTTATTAAATTTCTGTTGTCTCAGATATAAAATAAAAAGTATAACCCTTTTGTTTTTATAAGAAAGATTGAAGTGTAATAGATAAAAATAAATAATAAAAAAACAAACCTTACATAATGGGATAAAATGTTGAATAAATTTTTGGTAGTATATATGTCTCTAGGAATGCATCCATTTCTTCCATATGGCCTAATTTGTTGGCATATAGTTGCTCATAATATGTTCTTATAATTGTTTGTATTTCTTTGGTGTTGGTTGTGATCTCTCCTCTTTCATTCATGATTTTATTTATTGGGTCCTCTCTCTTTTTGATAAGTCTGGCCAGGGATTTATCAATCTAATTAATTCTTTCAAAGAACCAGCTCCTCGTTTTGTTGTTCTGTTCTGTTTTTCTTTGTTTGTTTGTTTGTTTGTATTTCATTGATTTCTGCTCTAATCTTTCTAATTTCTCTTCTCCTGCTGGGTTTAGGCTTTCTTTGCTGTTTTTTATCCACCTCCTTTAGGTGTAGGTTTAGGATGTATATTTGAGACCTTTCTTGTTTCTTGAGAAAGGCTTGTATTGCTATATACTTTCCTCTTAGGACCAAATTTCCTGCATCCCAAAGGTTTTGAAGAGTTGTGTTTTCATTTTCAATTGTTTCCATGATTTTTAAAAATTCTTTAATTTTGTGGTGGACCCATTCATTATTTAGTAGGATGCTCTTTAGCCTCCATGTATTTGAGTTCTTTCCAAATTTCCTCTTGTGATTGAGTTCCAATTTCAAAGCATTGTAGTCAGAAAATATGCAGGAAATGATCCCAATCTTTTGGTACTGGTTGAGATTGATTTGTGACCCAATATGTGACTTATTCTGAAGAATGTTCCATGTGCACTCAAGAAGTATATGTATTCTGTTGCGTTAGGATGGAATGTTCTGAATATATCTGTGAAGTCCATCTGGTCCAGTGTGTCATTCAAAGCCTTTATTTCCTGTTGATCTTCTGCTTAGATGGTCTGTCCATTACAGTGAGGGGAGTGTTAACGTCCCCTACTATTATTGTATTATTGTCAATGTGTTTCTTTAATTTTGTTATTAATTAGCTTATATAATTGGCTGCTCCCTTGTTAGGGGCATAAATATTTACAATTGTTAGATCTTGTTCGATAGACCTTTTAATTATGATAGTGTCCTTCCTCATCTCTTATTACAGTCTTTGGCTTAAAATCTAATTTGTCTTATATAAGGATTGCCACCCCAGCATTCTTTTAATGTCCATTAGCATGATAAATCATTTTCTACACACTCACCTTAAATCTGGAGATGTCTTTGGGTCTAAAATGAGTCTCTTGCAGACAGCATATCAATGGGTCTTGCTTTTTTATCCAATCTGATACACTACCCTGTGTCTTTTGATTTACATTCAGAGTAACTATTGAAAGATACGAATTTACTGCCATTTTATTACCTGTAACATGGCCCTTTCTGTATATTGTCTCTGTTCCTTTCTGGTCTATGTTACTTTTGGGCTCTCTCCTTGCTTAGATGATCCCTTTTAATATTTCTTGTAGGGCTCGTTTGGCGGGCACAAATTCTTTTAGTTGCTGTTTATCCTGGAAGCTTTTTATCATTCCTATTTTGAATGACATCCCAGCTGAATAAAATATTCTTGGCTGCATAGTTTTCTCAGTTAACACCCTCAATATATCATGCCAGTCCCTTCTGGCCTGCCAGGTGTCTATGGATAGGCCTGCTGCCAACCTAATTTTTCTATCTTGTCTGTTACACATCTCTTGTTCTGGGCTCCTTTCAGGATTTTCTCTTTGTTGCTGAGATTTTCAAGATTCACTACTATATGTCAGGGTGTTGGCTAATTTTATTGACTTTGAGGGGGGTTCTCTGTGTTTCTTGGATTTGGTTGCCTGTTTCCTTCCCCAGATTAGGGAAGTTCTCTGCTATAATTTGCTCCAGTATACCTTCTGCCCTCCTTTCTCTTTCCTCTTCTTCTGGGATCCCAATTGTTCTAATATTGTTTTGCCTTATGGTGTCACTTGTCTCTCAGATTCTCCCCTTGTGATCCAGTAGTTGTTTCTCTCCTTTTTCTCAGCTTCTTTATTCTCCATCATTTTGTCTTCTATATCACTAATTCTCTCTTCTGCCTCATTTATCCTAGCAGTTAGAGCTTCCATTTTAAAAATTTTTTTTATTGTTATGTTAATCACCATATATTACATCATTAGTTTTTGATGTAGTGTTCCATGATTCATTGTTTGTTCATAACACCCAGTGCTCCATGCAGAATGTGCCCTCTTTAATACCTATCACCAGGCTAATCCATCCCCCTACCCTCCTCCCCTCTAGAACCCTCAGTTTGTTTTTCAGAGTCCATCATCTCTCATGGTTCGTTTCCCCCTCTGACTTACTCCCCTTCATTCTTCCTCTCCTGTTATCTTCTTCTTTTTCTTTTTTCTTAAAATATGTTGCGTTGTTTCAGAAGTACAGATCTGTGATTCAACAGTCTTGCACAATTCACAGTGCTCACCGTAGCACATACCCTCCCCAATGTCTATCACCCAGCCACCCCATCCCTCCCATCCCCCACCACTCCAGTAACACTCAGTTTGTTTCCTGAGATTAAGAATTCCTCATATCAGTGAGGTCATATGATACATGTCTTTCTCTGATTGACTTATTTCACTAAGCATAAGACCCTCCAGTTCCATCCACGTCATTGCAAATGGCAAGATCTCATCCCTTTTGATGGCTGCATAATATTCCATTGTGTATATATACCACATCTTCTTTATCCATTCATCTGTCGATGGACATCTTGGCTCTTTCCACAGTTTGGCTATTGTGGACATTGCTGCTATAAACATTGGGGTGCACATACCCCTTCGGGTCCCTACATTTGTATCTTTGTGGTAAATACCCAGTAGTGCAATTGCTGGATCGAATGGTATAGAGCTTCCATTTTTGATTGCATCTCATTAATAGCCTTTTTGATTTTGCCTTGGTTAGATTTTAGTTCTTTTATTTCTCCAGAAAGGGATACTTTAGTGTCTTCTATGTTTTTTTTTCAACCCAGCAAGTATCTTTATAATCATTATTTTGAACTCTAGACCATCTTACTTATGTCCATACTGATTAAGTCCTTGGCAGTAAGTACTGCCTCTTGTTCTTTTTCTTGAGCTGAGTTTTTCTGTCTTGACATTCTGTCCAGAGAATAGATGAATGAGAGAACAAAATACTAAAATGGCAAAATGACCCCAGAGAAATATGCACTAAACAAATCAGAAGAGACCCAAAACCAAAAAAAAAAAAAAAAAAAGAATATAATCATACAGGTGAACAAGATAGAGAAATACACTGAATCCTGTTTGTATTTAGGTCTGTTTGTTAGAAAACTAGATCCCCAAATTATAAAGAAAGAAAAACTTATATATGTACAAAAATAAAATTAAATACAATGAAAAGATAGAATGTAACTGTAAAATGAAAATTAAAAGACAAGAAAAAAACAAAAGAGAAAAAAAGAATAACAAAAAACGATTGGGTATAAACAGACAAGTGAACAAATCAGAGCAATATACTATATCCTGAGTGTATCTTGGTAGGTTTGTTAGAAGAAAGTATATCTCAATATTGTAAAGAAAAAACTTATATATAAAAAAATAAAATTAAATACATTGAAAGGATAGAATGTAACTGTAAAGATGATATTAAAAAAAGACTTTTACAAAACAAAAAAAAACAAAAAAGGAAGAAGAAAAAAAGAATATGATCACATGGGTGAATAGAACAGCTATACACTAGATTTTGGGTGTATTTTGGTCTGTTAGAAGAAATTGCATCCCAAAATTGTAAAGATATATATATTTTATATATATATATGAAATAAAATGTATATATATCTTATATATATAAAATAAAATTCAACATTCACAAATCAATCAATGTGATAGAACACATTAATAAGAGGAGAGAGAAGAACTATATGGTCCTCTCAACTGATGCAGAAAAAGCATTTGAAAAATACAGCATCCTTTCCTGATTAAAACTCTTCAGAGTATACAGATAGAGGGAATATTCCTCAAGTTCATAAAATCTATCTGTGAAAAAACCACAGCAAACATCATTCTCAATGGGGAAAAGCTGAGAGCCTTTCCCTTAAGATCAGGAACA